TCTAGGTGTTTCAACGTCTCCTGTCGAGCCTTTGAACAATGAAGCTTTTCTTTTCTAGGTTCTTGTGGGTTTTTTCGGGCTATAGAGCCATGTTCTAGAGGAATTTCTCCTGACGTTTCGCCTGCATCTATGGCAAGCATCCTCAGAGGTAGAGGTCTTTTCTTTTCTTTTCTACTTCAGCAAGGATGTGTAAAATCTCACTGTCCAGAAAGCCCAAGCCATCAGACATCATCAAAGGAGAGGGGCTGATTTTTTAGTCCCTTTAACAGAATTCAGGTCTACACAGGACGTTTTCGTGTTTAGAAAGTATCCCTCATGTTTAGAAAGTATCCCTCATCCCCCTCTTACAAACCTACACAAGGAATGGATGGGAACTGGTGTATGGGAATTCCTTAGTGGGGATGTAATTTATTAGCAGAAGCTGATGTCTCTAACTTGTTCCAGATTGGAGCTTGTATATTTTGATCTTGGCTTTTTCCACCATCAGCGGACAATCAGCCATGCAGTTCCCACAGGCCCAAGGTGTGCGCAGCAGGAAAGCACATTGCTGCACCTGGGAAGGTCATGTCCTCAGCCATGAAACTGCTGATCAGGGGTATCCAGAAGTATTAATCAGGCTGTAAATGACATCTTCCCGAATACCCCTTCACAGCTGTACTTTGGCCTCCTCCCAAAGGTGGCTATTTCAGTAACTCCCAAGTTAGAACATTACTTAAGTTTATGGCAGTGACAAACCTTCCTTCTGCCTCCACATGTTTGCTTCTTAATGTACTCTCCTGCACAGGCATCAGGGCCAAGGTAGACATTGCCTTTAGTGTACAGTTAGCAACCATATCTATGGTTTTGCTTTGTTTGTGAATACATTTATTTTTGCATTTGAAAGGAAATGTACATATTACAGAACCGTCTGATGAGGCTCTATGCAACAGTTTCCAGAAACTATCTATTTACTTTGAAGGTCAATATATACATTATATTGTTTTTTCTACAGTTATGCGGATTCTGCATAGGATTGACAATTGAACATCTAGAACAGTGGTTCCCAACCTGTGAGTCCCCAGGTGTTTTGGCCTACAACTCCCAGAAATCGCAGCCAGTTTACCAGCTGTTAGGATTTCTGGGAGTTGAAGGCCAAAACATCTGGGGACCCACAGGTTGAGTACCACTGATCTAGAAGCTCATGTAAGCTGCTTAAATGTATGGAAAGTGACTAGAGAAGTTCAGCACCTTAATGTCTATATTTGGTACTAGTATAAACATTTTCAGTGTGATTCTTGCACAACCACAGGATACATGGATGTGACAGAGTAAGTGTGAATTAGTAGCTGTACAGAAGTTCATCCCAGTGCATTCCATGTGTTATATCTAATGGATAAAGCAAAGGCAGGCAACATAGTATCCTCAGGTGATTTAGACTACAACTGTCACTATCTCTTTTCATTGGGCATGTTGGCTGGCAAGGATGGAATATATATGCAAAACATCTAGAGGACATTAGGTTGTCTAGATGTAAAACATCCTCAAATCAGAAACAGAATGTTTAATGGGCTAAACATGAGAAGCTTTATGCCTTTTCTTCCTTTGGAGAAGTCATTGATAGTGCCTGAATAAAATTTCTCTCCAAGAAGCCCAGAAGCAAATGTGGAGATTTTCCTGGAAGAAGAGAACTCTCATATAGAACACCCAAGCCTGTAATCTCAAATTAATGCAAATATAACTTTATGCTGCCTCCTACTGTCTACAGAAAGGCAAGGAAATAAGTAGCCCTCCCACTAGCAGTACAGTTTGTGTTAAAAGATGATGAGATCCAGAACACCCACAAAGTCACTTGGGACATTTTCATTTCACCATTGTGAGAGTATCCTGGGATCAGGGGTGAGGGGGATATCACTACTTGCCTCTCTAAAATGAATACAACAGCACCAAACAAGAAGAATGGACAAGTAGTGTATGGAATATGCTTTTTCTTTCTCTAAACAATTTTTTGCCAGAATGCTTAAAAAGTAACAATTTTTCACCGAGGTAATTGTATTATTCCACCCTGATGTCATGATTTTGGAAGCTAAATAGTGTCAGCCCAGACTAGTACTTAGAGAGAATATGACCAGGCAATACCAGGGATCTCCAAGTAAAAGACTACCACTGTAGTCTTAGATATTAGTTTGATGCAATGCAAAGCAGCTTCTTATTTACTTGTTATAAAAGAATTATATATATTGGTTAATTTAAAGATTGTGGATTAGACCGAGATGTCATTCTTTCAATTGGATGACTGATATCAGTGGAGCAAGCTATTCTTGACTATCTCAAGGTCTATCAATTCAATTGCCTCAATCCAATGACTTGCTGCTTCCAACTAGAGAAGACTGAGATGAGATTTACATAAATGTTGATATGTTCAACAATTTTTTTCAATAGGTCTATGTTGCTTAGGTTCAGCAGGCCAATAAATTTACTCTAGGCATGATTAAATCTGGATAGGTCAACTAGTTTTCCATATACTCTCTTGCCAATAAAGAGTAAGAAACAAACATAGAGATTATATGCCAACCAAGTTTTGCTCACAACTCATATAAGATACAAATAATGGATGGTCTAACTGTTCAGAATAGTTTAATAACAAAAACAGGAATTGAAAACCATTCCCAAAACTATACACAAATGAAATGAATTGAAATGATGATTTGACTGAGGAGAAAATACATGTGAAGGAATTAGCCCTCCCACTACTGATAGACCAGAGTGGAACTGTGTGACTGAATGTGAGCTTCACTCTAGTTATATTTGCATAGGTCAGTGAAAGCTACTGGTCCCCAGGTTAGTGGGATGGTAAACACACTTCCCATTTGGGTCTGAACTTTAAGAGCACCAAACCTATTTTGGAGACAGGCTTCAGCACCTTAGGCAGCTAATTTAAAGTTCAGATTAAACTCTGAAGTGGATAGACCACTTCACTCACATTGAAGTGCTCAGCAATCATCTGACATTGATCACATTTTATTCTTGCATGAAGAGTATTGTGTAGCAGAAAATGGAACATTCTTGCCTGAGATCTCAGAAAATTAGATCCCAAGTTGTGAAATCCCTTTCCATAGGTAGTTCAGTTGGCCCCCTCCATCCTTTCTATCATCAAATAAATACCTTTTTAGTTAGGCAAATGAGGTTTTTAATGTGTTAATGTGTGTTATGTCTGTATTTTATTATGCTTCAAATGTGCTTTAAATTATTTAAACTTATATTTTAAAAATAGGATTGTCTTAACTGTCTTAGGCAGGGAGGGGGCTAACTGAACTTGAGGCTGAGAGAGTGTGACTTGCTCAAGGTGAGTTTCCATGTCTGAGTGGGGATTCAAACCCTGATCTTCAGAATCATAGCTCCATGCTCAACCCACTGCCTCATGCTGTACCTATTACATAATGCTCTCATTCTTTGCACTAATTGGAGTAGAATAAATAGCTGTGGATGACTCCAAGCATCCCAAACAGCTTTGTACAATTCACTTTATAAGAGCTTGTAAAACAATAAAAATAGACTTTCCTAGGTGTTTCTTTTAAATGATTGTCCAGGCAGTTAAAGCCAATCCATAAACACTTTCGGAAATGCTCTTTTCCTCATTAGTCTTGTGTAAGTGTTGTATTCTTAGCACTAAACACTTGCTGTGTTTTTACTTAAAATTAGTTTTCCACTGATGTTTTTATAACCTAGCCACAAAGCATGTGTCTTTCCAAAGTGGGAATAGCTGCTTCAACCCTGTATCTAGTAATGATGGCAATAGTGTGGGGACAGTTAGTAATTACATATAAACTTGCTAATCAGCACCAAATAATATACAGCCATCTCCTTTCCCAGACATGAGCTTCTGATTAGAAGAAGAAGAAACCAATAAACCACTGATTAATGCAAGAGATGTCATTTACTAAGCTGTCAGCCATATAAATACTGATTGGAAAAAGTTTACTCTATTTTATCTGTGAAATAAATGTGATGAATCTGACAAGGCATGGTGGTTGGAAATAAAAAACTTTACTTAATTCATTATGTGTAATGTAGAAGCTTTACATTTAAACTAATCCATGAAAAATAAGCTAGAAGCTCCAGGGATTTGGAAGATCTTGAGGTTATTAGACATATTTGCTATACACAAACATCACACAATGTAAAGCAAAGTCTAAGATGTAAAGCAATTCCCATCATATGCATACATTGCTTTTGTTGTGTACCTTAAGTTGTGTGGTTTTCTAGGCAAGACTTGTTGACAGGGGGTTTACCTTTGCCTTCCTCTGAAGCTCAGCCAGGAAACCCACTGGCTAACTTTGGGTAAGTCATGGACTTTCAGACTTAGAGGAAGGCAATGTCAAAGCTCTTCTGTACAAAACTTTCCACAAAAACCCTGTAATAGGTTTGCATTGTTGTTGTTTATTTGTTCAGTCACTTCCAACTCTTCATGATCTCATGGACCAGCCCATGCCAGAGCTTCCTGTCGGCTGTGGCCACCCCCAGCAACTTCAAGGTCAAGCCAGTCACTTCAAGGAGAACATCCATCCACCTTACCCTTGGTTAGCCCCTCTTTCCCTTTCCTTCCATTTTTCTCAGCATCACTATCTTCTCCAAGCCTTCCTGTCTTCTCATTATGTGGCCAAGTTATTTCATCTTTGCCTCTAATATCCTTCCCTCCAGTGAGCAGCCGGGCATTAGGTTCACCATATGTTGGAAACAATTTGAAGGCATGCAACAACAATTAATATCCCTTGTCTCATCACCTAACAGTACAATCCTACACCTGAATTCAAAGGAGCTTCCTCACAGATAAACGAGTACTGCATCAAAAACATCAAAAATCATGGTTTCACGAACTTTACAACCTAGTACCTGGAAAGGCAAGGCTTCCATTTCAAGACAGAGAAACATTCATCTTATAACATCTCTACTATGTCCAATCAATTTTTCCAAAAAAGTTTAAAAAAAAAAACAGTAAAGGAAAAGTAAAGTAAAACACTTACAGAACTACAAGACTAGTAAGGTTCTCAAAGGCATAGTCAGGAATGTGCCAGATTTTGTTGAGTGCCAAGGTCATGGCCTGTAGAGAGGGCAGGTTATTAAGTGCTTTGATGGGGATCTCGGTCAGGGCATTATCATCCAGCCAAAGGTGACGTAAGGAGGGAAGCCCCTCAAAGCTCTTCTCTGGTACCACAGAAATCAAGTTGGCATCTAGGCGCCTACAGAAAACAAACAAGGAGAAAATCAGATACAAATCAACATTGCCTTCTGCATATAATGCAGAAAGCATTCTTCCAATTATATCACTTATTGACTGAGAATGTGGCAACTTGGTACAGCAGCAGAGCACTGTACAGAGCCATGGGAGTCAGGACTGAGGGATCCCAAATTACTGACAGCTATAGCTTGGAGGAACATCGCTTGGTTTGATATAACAAGTTGGGGAGAAGCCCTCTACTTCCAGAAAGCTATAGAATTAAAATGGCTTTGTCGATATTTTTCTGTCTCCTGGACAAGTTGTGCTAACACATTAGCAAACTTTTTTTGATGGTTCTATGCATAACTCTAGATCAGAGCTGCTGGAAAGCAATACATATATCTTTTAGGGCAAGGTTTGGTAACAGTGGCCTAAAACATTGCTGGGTGTCAATTTCTGTAATCTATCACTGGCTATTCTCATTAGAAGTGCAGTCCAACAACATCTGGAAGGTCAGTGTTGACCACTACTGTTTTGTGGAAATTTTGCATCAATTCCAATAGAACTCAAATGAAGACAAATGCATTTTTGTAGAAGAATGATTAATCACCTTGGTCCAATATTCTGAAATGATTGGCTGATCTTCTTCTCTGTTTGCCAACCATCTGGGACCTGGCCCACAATTATAGTATACAAGAGTAGTGCAGCTAGGATATGTCAGTACCAGATTGGAAGTTCTTAAATGGAAAGGACTTTGAGAAATCTGAGAAAAAGCAACTAATTTATAGAAACGTGGGTAATACTCATCTCTTCCACCCAGCCATTCCTCCATAAGCCCTGCCCACTGGGGTAAAAAGTAAGGAAAGTATTTCAGATAATGTCATTGGTTTACACCACCTGGTCACTCCTTTCCGTGTAACTTCCAAAGGACCATTGGTCACTAAGGTCTGATGTTTGCAGAACAGCAATAGACACTATAGATATACCCCAGTAAACAAAATAAGTGTGTTTGTGGACATAATGTTTCTGCCTCTGTTAGTTACAAAGGCAGAAATAGCATTTAAAGAATAGGTATATATTTGTACACCACGAAACAAACAAACGAACAGGAACAGTTCAACATTTTAGCAAATCATTATTCAAAACTAACACATACACATATAAAAGGAAGCAACCATCATAGGTAGTCTTGCATAAGTCAGCAAAAACATTTTTAATTTTCTACAGACCACTTGAAAATGTCTCCCAAGATGCTTACAGAGATAATTTTACCTTTTCATCAGCCTCCATTTTTCTCATGATTTCCATTTTTGTGGCCAGATCCATGTTCAAATACACTGATAAGTCACTGATAAGGCAGGCTTATCTATTCTTCCCTTTTCACTGTTCGTGTATGCTTAGTAAGGGATTTGTAAAGCAAGTATTATTCAATTTGCCTGTTGTAAGCAAGCACACACAGTAGGTCGTAGGATCAACTAGACAATAATCTATCTCTATACCTCAATTTTTATTGCATTGTTTCTAGCAGAAGGGTGCTGTAAACTGATATTGTAAATCTGTGTTTCTCTAATCATCATTCCAATGCCAATACTTCCAACATTTCCAGACAGACCAAAGATGTGTGTGTGTGTAGTTTCTAAAAATAGAAAAAGGGGCTTCTTTGCCAAAGGCTTTGATAACTGAAATATATGTATAAATTGTGGAGTGTTTTTTTAAAGAATAGGCAGAAACAAAGTAAAACTAATAGATTTAGTGTAGACTCTATGGGCCTTTATGTAAAACATAAAACTGGTGGAAAGAGCAAAGAACAGTCCCATGGCAGTTTATGGACTAGCAAGTTTAAAAACTCTTGGTTGTTTTTGCTGCAACAGATTAGCACTGCTGTCCCTTTGGAAATTGTTACTCAGAGTAATGACTTGATAGAATTGTTTAAGAGCTGAAGGATTCAAAGTAAAGGACAGACTTGTAGTGAATGAGCTGAGTTTCATTCCAGTTTCTGCTATTTCTGTTGTATTGTCTGAGTGATTCAGAAGCAGTAGAGTGGGGATTTTTTTAGGGATGGGGTGGGGTGGCGGGTGGGGGAGGATATCCTCTGTTTGCAAAGAGAAGATCCTTTGCCTGTATAATGAAACATGTAATTCTGAGTTTTACTTGTACAGGACATCTTAAAAGTAGATAGTCATTTCTTCATCCTAGGATATGAATATTATTTATAAGAAATCACATGCAGAATCCTACAGTCACAACCATAATGGAGATATGACTGCAACATGTACCATCATGTATAGTACTTCTTTTTGTACACGGGAGTCACAGAACAAAACAGAGATCTTCTTTATCTGGCTCAGTGCTCTGAGCTGTGGCTAAATGGAAGAAAGGTACAGAATTCCAAACTTCTTTGTTGCAAAAGTTACTCTCACAACATTCCTTGCAGACATTGTTTTTATCTTTCTGGATCTGTTCCTTATCCCCATAACAATATTTTGAGATGGAAATAATGTTGTGGTTCTTGCAAGTTTGTCCTGGTTCCATTAAAATATAGCAAAAACAAGGGGGAATGGGTGACGTTGAATGTCTCTCTATTTAATAACATCTTGATCTAGAATCATAGAATCATAGAATCATAGAAAATCAAAGAGTTGGAAGAGACCTCCTGGGCCATCCAGTCCAACCCCCTGCCAAGAAGCAGGAATATTGCATTCAAATCACCCCTGACAGATGGCCATCCAGCCTCTGTTTAAAAGCTTCCAAAGAAGGAGCCTCCACCACACTCTGGGGCAGAGAGTTCCACTGCTGAATGGCTCTCACAGTCAGGAAGTTCTTCCTCATGTTCTGAAGGAATCTCCTCTCTTGTAGTTTGAAGCCATTGTTCCGCATCCTAGTCTCCAGGGAAGCAGAAAACAAGCTTGCTCCCTCCTCCCTGTGGCTTCCTCTCACATATTTATACATGGCTATCATGTCTCCTCTCAGCCTTCTCTTCTTCAGGCTAAACATGCCCAGCTCTTTAAGCCGCTCCTCATAGGGCTTGTTTTCCAGACCCTTGATCATTTTAGTCGCCCTCCTCTGGACACATTCCATTCTAGGTCATATTATGAATTAAGGAAAATGAATGAAGGAAAACTCTCATAAGGAAACAAGCCTATGACGATGTCAATGGAAACCATTTCTACCTGAGCTTGCCATTATGCAGAGTTTGGAAAAGTCTCTTTTTGGGATTCTAACATCTGTCTATTGCCATATCCCTAACCAAAAAAGAATAGCAACATGTCTGAGTCTTTAAGCCATTCTCCAGTGTCTGAAGTAATCCAAGGCACACCAACTATCATGAGGTTTTAAAATCATCTTGAAGACTCAGAAGGCTCACTTGCTTTTATTTTTGTGGGGCAGTTTTGCGACAAATTGAACTTCGCACAAGAAACTTTGGACTTGTGGAAATAGATGGAAAAAAGTTAGCAGAACAGGGGGAAAAGTCAAGGATGGTTTAGGGCTGTAAGTATTTTTGAGATCAGTTTAGCTGCAACCAAGCAATAATTTCACCAAAGTGTTCTTTTTTGTTTTTAGGGTTTTTTTTTTTACTCTAAGCCACAGTGCTTTGGGTACATCCATGTTTACTGTTGCTTGTACTGGGATGCACTTCCATGATCACTAACTTCAGTACTTTCAAGATCACCAGCCTAGAGATGTTTAGTAATCCACTGCTTTTAATTGAGTGAATGACTGGCTTCAACTGCGCAATCTTTCGGGTTCCAAAATGGCACCAAGATTCTCTATCACACATGTCTTGGCTTCCATTACAGGATAGCTGGTGGTGTAAAGATAGTGTCTTGCCCATGCACATGGTACTGTTCTATTATCCAGGAGGAAGTCACAAGGGGATACTAGATAGAGAAGGATACTCCATTTCATTGGGGGGGGGGATTGAAGGAGGAAAACCATTTTCCCTGTTTGTGTTGATTATTCTCCCTCTTCGCTCCCATATCATAAACAAGGGTTGTTTCCACAACGGGGACATGGGTGAGGGAAATAACAGGAAAACAGGGGGAAATGGTTTTCCTCCTTCGACCCACCTTCCACCCCCATAAAATGGATTATCCTTCTCTCTCTAGCACCCCCTTGTGGCCTCTGCCTGGATAATGGAACAGTACCATGCAAACTTATAAGACAGATGGTACCAACCCCAGGCACCATGCAGAAAGGCAGGACTGATACTTCACTGCCTTCTCTGAAGCTTCTTAGACAAAGTCACAATTATGAGTTGAGCATCTTAGCTTTGAAAGAAAAAAGTGAGAAGTTTCTAGACACACTTTATGCCTGGAGGCAGCCTGTAGAGTCAAGCCTTTAGCTTACAGATGCTATGGAACTGATGTTTCAGAGCAAACCTTGTTTTTGTATGCCTACCAGCTTGCTACTGAACCTGTTTATTTGTAAACAGGTTCAACAAACTTCCCAGACTTCTGTCATTAAAATGGAAAGCGATTCTGAAAGAAAACAACCTGCTTTAGAATTTTCACCACAAAGGGAAGTGGAACATAAAAACACTGGCAGACTAAAATGAATTGAATCATTGTCTCCAGGATCAGAATCAGCTTGGTGTCTGTGCTTGCTTGCTGAAGTAAAGTTGGATTCTCCTTAAAAAAGAAGAGTTCAAGCTAATTGTGATGGCTCCCAAATGCGACTCTTCTTGAGGAAGCAAGGGCAGAAACTCCTTGGCACCAAGAAGCTGCTAATTATGTCAATTAAGCAAAACAAAAAAGCAACCACACGACTCTTCTCTTTCTGCACTGTGTGATTATGACTTCTTAAGCACTTTCTATTATGGTTTATACCTGGGATAATTGGGCAGATTAGGAGACACAGTGGGCCAGTGCCAGCTTGCTCCATTTCTCCTAGCTGTTTAAATTTTTGTTTCTTCTACTATGTCTCAAACTATGCTATAGTTAATGGGTTAGTTTTCATCACAAGCATTAACCCTAGAGTGGGATATTAAAGCTACATGAAAGAACAGTGTAGAGACTCTGGTCT